GAGCAGGTTTGGAAGAGCTCAACAAAAGTATTGAGGTCTTCCAATTTATGCCACATCACTGAGAAATCTCATATGAAAAATAAGTATGTATTATTTTAAATCGTATATTATGCAGATTGCCTTCATATGCTTATTTTATATTTTCCAGGAAGGCCAATCACAAAGGAGGTCATTTGATCACCTAACTCAAATTAGAGTAAATTATAGTCTTCCTCACAATTTTCTTTAGATCTATTAAAATATATATTTATCTGGTAGACACATTTTGAGTATATAATGATAGCATTCCAAGTTTTACATGAAAGAAATCTAAATTTCCATGTACAGTTCTCTACTCAGCTGCTTATTTAGAAAAGAAAAAAATTACAGTTGAAAAGAGATCCTGGACCAATCTCTATTTGATTTTTGGTATCATAAACACTGAATTGGTGATAGGGGCTTCCTTGTTCTAAGCTATTATTTTGGCTTTCTGACTTAATAAAAAAAAAAAAACTAAACCAGCATTCTTTCTGAGCAAAAGCACTGCTAAGACTGAATTTCTGATTTTTTGTCCAAGTTTCAGGTTCTGAAGCATTCTCTTTAAGTAAAAATAAAAGTAAGTGTGAGTAATCCATTTCTTACATAGACAGTGCTCACTGAAAGTGTGTTACATATAATTGGAATATGCAGGGTTTTTTGTCGTTCAGATCTAATCAAGTCTCTCAGAAAGTATTATCGGTGTTTCTCTTGGACTCAATATTTTCCATATTGAATTCCTGCCTGAGGACACTTACTGTTGCTTATTTATATGAGAGTTTTCACCATAATCCTAAACTATGCTTTAATGTGAGGTGTTTTTTTAATTAGGCATATTCCTGTCAAATGTGGTAGTTTTAAAAATCATTTATGAACTTGTTCTCAAGAAAAGCAGAAAACATAGACTCGAAAATTTCTTGGTTCCAGAAATTATGTTCTAGATGGTTTCTATAAGTTTCTAAAAGTGGGTATCACTCTAAATCCCTGGCTTGTTTTACTTTTACTAGTTTTTTTTTTTTTTTCCCAGTCTTAGGGCTTGAACTTAGGGCCTGGGCACTGTTCTTGAGCCTCTCTTTGCTCAAGGCAGTGCTCTACCACTTGAGCCACAGTGCCACTTCTGGCTTTTTCTGTTTATGTTCTACTAAGGAATCGAACCCAGTGCTTCATGCGTGCTAGGCAAGCAATCTACCACTAAGCTACATTCTCAGCCCCTTACTAGGTAATTTTTGAATGCAAAATAATGTTTGGTATGGACAGTTTGGTACAGAGATTTCCTTTAATAAAACCCTATTTCTTTGTACATTCTCTCCCTTAGATGGGTAACTTTCTGTGCCATTTTCTTTTCTCTGATTTGGAGATGCACATCGATTGGTGGGTTGGTCTCTTCCGACTTAACCATCCTGCTTCTCCAAGCACTTCTTTCACCTCTCAAGTAGTTTTATAGGTTAAAGAAAAGTATGTACAGCCTGACACTGGCTTCTCATGCCTGTAATCCTTGCTTCTCAGGAAGTTGAAATCTGAGGACTGTCGTTTGAAACCAGTCCAAGCAAAAAGGTCTGGTGAGAAGTGAGACTCTTGTATCCAATTGACCACTAAATAAGACTGAAGTGGAGGTGTGGTTCAAGTATTAGAGCACCAGCCTTTTAGTGAAAAAGTCAAGTAAAGCATCAATTCCCTGAGCTCAAGCCCAAGTACCAGGACAAAAAGCAAAAAGAAACACAATTACAATTCAGTTTACAATATATACTTTATTCTTTGCCTGATAAATGAAGAACCAGAAGAAAATTCTTCCAGGTGACTGATTCCCACTTTTTCTTTCTCAAGTCTATCTTAAAATCCAAATTCTGACTCAATTTGCGAATTTCACTAGAATCACACTATTTTCAGGATTCTTTTTAATAGCACACATGTGCAATAAATATCTTTGGTTGTGATGAGGGAAGTAGATTATTTGAATGAGGTAGATATTGTAACCCTTGTCTTTAAAAAGTAGGCAATGTTTGTTTAAAAAGGAAAGGATTTTTGTTGTTGAATTGTTTGTATGCCTGTTTGTTTTTGGTGAGGGGAAAATACTAGGACATACTCTACCATTTCAGCCACACCTCTAGCCTTCTGGTTTGTTTTTCTTTTTATTTTCTTTCTTTTTGCTCATTATTATTCCTCAATTTTCTGCCCTGGGTGGCTTCGAACTGAGATTTTTCTACTCTCAGACTCCAGATTAGCAAATTATGAGCCACAGACACCCAGCTACACTGAATGCTTTAAAGAACTATGCATTATTTCCCCACATTTCAGAGTGGTAAAAGAAATGTTAATCAAAACATTTTCGGATGATTCAAGACCACAGCATTACCTAATTTAGATAAAGGGTGCCATGTGAACTTGTTTACTCTTAATGGTTTCTTCTTTTCCCCCATATCGTGCTAATTCATCACCATTACTGAGAGAGCTCAAGTAATTTAACTTCACAACAGTAACGGGTTGTTTTGTTTCTTTTTTACCCTTAACAACTAAATTCTGTAGTTTAAAAGTGTGCAGAAATTATTCTTAGCCCTTCGTGAAAAGAGTGATTTTGTTTTATTCTTTTGCAAGGCTATTTCATTACCATAATCTTTAAGAACCTGGGAATGCTATAGGGACCCTTCCCTATTGTGTGAATGTTATCGACCATATTTTAAAATACACAATTCCATACCCTCAGGAAGAATTAAGTAAAGCTGCAGCACCAAAAAAAAAAATGTATCCTTCCAAACAAAAGGCTCTTCCCTCAGAAGACCCCAACAGGAGAGAATCCCTTGACTAATGTTTTCCAGTAGGGGGAACTAAAGACTCACCATCCAGCCTTTCGCTCTGCTCAGAGACCTGCGTGAGTTCCTGTAAACCTTCTTTTAATCACCCCACAAGCATCAAACAGCGACCAGGCAGGCCTGTGATCCCGCGTGGGCCCGGACACACCGACCACACTAGGACACCTCTCTCAGTGGCGTCCCTTTGATGTAATGTGGCCTTTCCTTACGCATCCCGAGTCCGGAATGCCCTGTGCTTGCTAGTTGTTGCTTTCATTTAGGGCTGACATTTGGCTCTTTTTTTTTTTTTTTTTTTTTGAGTTTGTGCGAGCTTTGTTGGCTTCCTAGTCTTCCTCGTGGATCTGAACCTTCCACCCCACCCCCCAACCCGTGAACTTTCCTTTCCGAGGTGCTGGCCTCTCGGGGAGGGGCGGGGGAGGTTAAAAGTGAGTGTGTTCCGAGGCCCTCCGAACTCTTTAGTAAGGTCTCCCTCGTATTCCCAGACCCCAAATTCCAATCTTGGAGAGGTCACAAGCCGCGGAGTGACTTGGAGGGGAAGGGAGGTGGGAGGGCCGCCTCTTCGCCTTCCTCCCCAAGCCCAGGATTCGGCCGAAGGCGGTAGATCTTGGCTAAAAGGAGATGGTAGAAGTTGAGAGATTTCTGCTGCGACCCTCTCCCCTCCCCGCCCCTTCTCGCCCAGGTCTTTAAAAAAAAAAATCTGGTTCCTTTCTTAACCACATAGGAAATAGTCGCACACAACCTTTCCCACTCCGAAAGGTGGTTTTATTTCCATTTCCTTCCCCTTTTCTCCCCCCTGCTCGTGTGTGTGCGTGTGTGTGTGTGATTTTAACGAGTGCAGAGGCTGCGCCCAGGCTCGGGTCCTGGAGGCTGATCTTTTTGCTGCAAGCGCGTGCGGGGCTCCGGCAGACGGAGGGATGAATAATTAGGAAAGGCTTCTGTGAAATCACTCACTGAGAAAATTACCTGCCCATTAACCGGGCCGCGGCGGGGAGCGGGGCGGGGGGGGGGGGGGAGCGGGAGCTCACCTTTCTCCTCCCAGCGCGGGAAAGAGTAAGGGGGGTGGGGGTGGAGATCGGGGGGCGGCTGGTGGTGGCTGGGAGCAGGGACGGGAGGTGACCGGTAGCCTCCATCCTTCGGAAGCCCGCAGGACTCCAAAATGTGCTCCTTTCCGCCCCTCTAGGACTCCCCACCCGGCAGGACCCCTCTCCATCCCCCGGCAGGCTAGGCGGGTGGCGGAGAGCTCTGCGCACCCCC